TGGGAAAAATGCTGAATATTTCAATCACACTTCATGGTCACTGGGGTGCCTGGAGTTTTCCCCAGCCAGGCACCAACAGGGGCATATGGTATGGTTATATTACCTCAGGGGTATGTCTCTCAAGTGGCATCCAGACCCTGAACTTTGCCCCATCAGTTTCCACTGACCTACAGATGGATGCCAGTTATGAATGGTCCCAGTGGTCTTACCTCCTGGCTGCCATCCTCTCTGGTGCACTTTCAATTATGCACCCAGGCCTGTATGATGCTGGAAGGCAAGCCATGCAGTCATTGGACACATGGTTGAGTCAGCATAACCAAGATATGCAGGATGCCTTGCAGCACTGGCTGTCAGTTTTTACTAATGTCTCTGTTATCTCTAACCAGACCACACCCTTTCACTGGGACCCACACTCATGGTCTAATTGGTATGACATGCTGATCATGGTTGGCAATTATGAAGATTGTGTATTGGATATCCCCATGCTTGGCCTTCAGTTCCTTTACAACCCTGGCACTGTAGTTGCATTTTCTGGCCAGCTTCTTTGACATGGGGTTAGTTCTGTGGGTGGGAACCAATGTTGCTTTGCCTACTACATGAGGGACAACATACACAATTGGATAGGGATACCCCATGGGGATTGGATGAGAGTTCAGAATGTCCAGACTTGGTTGATGCCTGCAGGTCCAGTGGGACATTCCATATAACCTACACTTATCCAATAGGGGGTCCATGTAATGGTAGTTCTATAGATATTATATGCCATCTCAAGCCAAGTTATTTTCCATATACCTCTCCCAAATATCAACTATGGCTGGCCCATAATTGGTGGAACATGTCAACTCAAGCCAAATCCAGTCAGATGGCACACTGGGAGATTGGCTTGCTTGTTGTGCACAAGACCATGGCATATGTGCCAGACCACATGGATTGGTGATCATAATACACAGGCTGACTCAAGACAGATGGGACACCATATTGTGGGCCTCCTGTACACCATGAAACACTGGAGTATTTGTCCAGCCTGTCCTATGGGATCATAATATCTGGGCCCACCCCAAGGACACAGTACAATGGACTATAAGCCCTCCATAGTACATGGGCACTCCTATTTGGGCTGAGGCCAATGCACACAGCACACTGAAATATGCTCCCACTATTCCAAATGGAACACTGCAGGTCCAGCCAAGCCTTATTACATGGGCCACTGATATATAAGCTCCATAGACAATAGCTTCCCAGCCAAGCCAATATATATGGGACACCATTTGTATGGCTCATGCATTCACCAGGGGATGCCAAAAGATTAGCCCATCATCTACACCGGTGTGAGTCAAAGTGTGGTTCAGTGGTGAAAACCAACCAAAACCAACACAAAAGACAAAAAGAGCAAGTGGTGGTGTGCCCTATGCAGTACCTAGATGGTAGAACCTGTTCTTTGGGAGGGTTTTTGTGAGCTACAACACTCAAAGACAAGTGCTGAGGGTTGGGGGTGCTCCTGATGAAGAAGCAGGAATGCGAGAGAATACAATAGGGTAGACTGCTGTCAGCCTACAGAAGGATGGATGATGACTTAATTCAATGTCCTAAGCTGCACTGAGCTCAGGGAGGGCTTGGAGGCAAAGTATATTGATGATAGACAAGGATAAGGCAAAGTAGACAATAGTTAGACCCTTAATAAAGTCTCAACTATTGAAGCTGCTGAATGAATTACTGAGTGATGATAAAATGCGAGCAAGAGGGGCTCTCTGACATCTTCTTCTCTGCTATCTAAGTACAGTGATTTATATACAGTACAGGGGTGTTACCCTTGGAAAACAAGGTGCAAACACTGGGCAAGTGATTGGTAACTGATGAGTAAGGAATGTAAGTGATGGGTAATTGTCTTGGAAAGGATTGGTAAGCATTAGTAAGGATTAGCAAGCCAAAAAGCAAAGAATCAGTAAGCAAAGTCAAAAGATTGGTAAGTATTGGCAATAGGTGAGTCAAAGACAGTCAGAATGTCAAAGTATGAGTCAAGTAATGTCAGGAACTGGGAAAACGCACTGGAATCACATTAGGGGGAGGCTGTGCATGTCACATCTCAAAGAGATCGCTTCTAGGCCAAGGTGGGATGACAGAGAGGCAGGCACTGATCTGATGCCAATATAGTACATCCAAAAGTGGACAGGGTGAGTCAGATGTCAACAGGGGTCAAGCTTTGGGGGTCTGTGGGGTGACAGGAGCATAGGGGATGGCAACTTTCCCCCCCAAACCATCCTCTCAGGGAAGCAAATAAAAACTTCATGAATGAGGCTCTGTTGGAAGAGAGGATGAAGGGGGAGTGTCTTCTGCTGTATCTTGCAACAAGGAGGCAAGATGTGTATCATACTCATCATGGATGTGATCAGGGAGAGTGGAGAACAGTAGATTATACTGTAGCCTGTCACAATCTTGGAAGAATGATGGACTAAGGACTGGTACAAAGACATTGCAGGGAGCAGGGAGGAAGGAGGAAGGATCCATATGCTTCTTGGACTGGAGAGACTGAAATGACCACATAAGACCTTTCCAAGCTGAATGACAGACCTGAGGCGACCAAAGAACATGTCCTCCTAGAGGTCATACTGATGAAAAGAACATGCTGTCCAAGCTGGATGTGCTGAGAGGGCACAGATGAGGGTGGGATGTACCAGGATGCTTCAAGGACAGGAAGCTGGTAGGAACTGCCTGGTAGATATATGTAGCCATGGTCCCTAGCAAAGGGGACAAGTGAAATGATTGATGTAGAGGCAGCCATATCAGAAGAATTTAGTGAAATGAGTGTCTTTTGGAGGGAGTGCTGTAGAAACATGTGGAGTGTGCACAATCCTTTCCAATTTTGGAAGGTAAGATTGCATGTGGCTGAGCACTACAAGTGAAGTGTGGGAATGGTCTCTGTTATCTGCAGGAATGGCAGAGATATGTTCAAAAACATGAATGCTGTACATGGGTGCTTAAGAATTTTAGCCAGGCACTTAACTCACTCCCTTTCTTTTTCTCTGGCACTGATGACTTGTTCTTGTGTGAGGGATGACTGCCAACATTCCTGGACTGTCCTTCTTACATGAGGGCTATGGTCTTCATCTCCATTCATCAGCTGTATCCATGTCCACCTCACCAAACACCTTTGGTGTGTGACACCTGGTAACATTAAGCAGCCTTAACTGGGTATCCATGCCAATCAACCACCATAGGCATGGGCATCTGTCCTGGTCCCCTAGCATAAGGCCAGTATGTGTCCCAGGTTACAGTCATTGACTGGGAATTTGGCCTGGCTGACTGGACTTGGCTGGAACATATACTGGCTCAATAGAATCCCACTGGAGTGCCTTCTGACCCTACTGTAAATAGCCTGGAGGTGTCATCCATCCTGGCCAACTGCAGTTGATTCAGAATTGAATGCCAAACAACTGCCACCAGCCCTGGACCTGTGCCAGCCCACTATATTGTGGCTGGTAGGTGTCCTGGGTCATGATCATCAACTGGGAATTTCAACCCAGCTGACTGGATTTGGCTGGAACATATACTGGCCCAATACCATCCCACTGGAATGCCTTCTGAACCACTGTAAATAGCCTGGAGTTTGTGATCCATCCTGGCCAACTGGAGTTAGTTATGAATTGATGCCAACCAACTGTCACTGGCCTTGGCCCCCTGCCAGTCCCCTAGATTCAGCCTGGTAGATATCCCAGCTCACTGGCAATAACATGGGATCTGACCCAGCTAACTGGAAATGTCAAGAAGTCATACTGGCCCAATAGAATCCCACTAGTGTGCTTTCTGAACCACTGGAAATATCCTGGAGGCTGTGATCCATCTGGCCCACCTGGAATTAGATGAGTGTCCATGCCCACAAACCACCACCAGCTTATCCTCTATTCTGGCATATTTGCACTATACCAGTATGGGTCCTGGCTTACTAATACCAGCATGAAAGCTGGCTAGCCATATATTCCAACTACCTGCCATAATCCAGGCACCCATCACAGCCCACTTGCATAAGGCCAGTATGTGTCCTGGCATACTAGAAGTGGCTGTAACTCATATTGGCCCAATGGATGTACATTGATATGCCTTCCAACCCACTGGAAATAGTGTGGTGGCTGTCATCCATACTGGCCAACTGGAATTAGCTCAGCATCCATGCCAACTGACCATCACCACCTTGGCATCTGTGCCAGCCCACTAGCATAAGACTGGTATGTTTCCCAGCTTATTGGCATTATCCCAGCATTTGTCCTTACTGGAATTAGCCTGGCATTCATACCAACCCAATAGAATTACAGTGAAATGCCTTCTGACCCACTGGCAATCACTGACACATGCTGGGCTCATGCCAGTGAGCCCAGACCCAGTTAGTACCAGACCTTTCCCAACTTGCCAGAATCCATGCCAGGAGTATCCAGGCAAGATGTATATAGTAGTAACCCCTCAGCCACACTGTGCAGTATGGTGACATCCAATGATCATGGCTATGCTGTGTGACATGATGACAACTCAGAGGTGGGCTTGACTTTAGCCAGTCTGTGCAACATGGCCAATTGTCAACCTTGTTTGGTTGTATGATATGGTACAAAGTAGGTACATTATGTGCACCTGGACCCCTCAATCAAGAACTTCTTGGTCTGAGTGGTGTAGAAGTACAATGCATCTGGTAGCATAGTTTGAGTAACTCAACTCATGCTACCAAATGTGTCATACTTCTGTCTATGATTTAGGATGGAAATGAATCTCCAGGCACATCAGAGTCTTGTACAAGAAACTGGAAACTGTGAGCCTCCACAAAGAGACTCCACAAATGTTAAAGGCTGGCTTCCACCACTGAGAGCAGAATACTGGGAATGTAATGGTCAAACCAAATTCCACATACAACATTCAGCATTGTGTACTAAACATGTTATGGGATAATTCATGCACTGCAGATAGCCATAGCTAGCTTTGCATTGTCTACTGAGACAAGTCTGCTGTAGTAGCATGTATGAGGCATCAGGAAAATAACACTTTACTATTTTTGACTTTTTGTGACTAATGTGACTTTTTGGGAAGGAATCTACTATCATTACCCATGTCCTGCAGGCATGGCTGCACTTTTCTTGCTGATTTTGGTCTTGTTCAAACCACCTAATTCATAGCTTTTGGTAGATATCACATACATTCAAATTGATGGAGGTTCCAAAGAGATATTGTGATTTCTCTCTCAGACAGTGTGCATCACACCAATGGCTCAATATCTCTGAATTTTCAGACATTTTCTAGTCTTCTTGGCTTAGATATATCATCACTTAGTTGTTTCAACAGATTCTGTTCTCTTTTCATTCTTCAAAATGCTGTATATGGTCAAAAAAAACAGTACAGATAGTAGGCTCCTTCCCAAAAAGTCGCAAATAGTCACAATAGTCACAAAAAAGTCAAAAAAAAAAGTCACAAAAAGGTCAAAAATAGTAAAGTGTTAATTTCCTGATGGGAATGCTACAAAGATGCAGGGGCACTGGTGGCTACCCTTATGACAGTGAGTAATTGGCAGGCACTTGCCCTGAGTACATGTGTAGTACATATGGAAAAGTTTCCGAAGGGCCTGTCAACTTTCCGGACGATCCTCCATCTGCAAAACTACCTGAGGGGATGAGCAGTGTATGGATGCCTCCGTTTGGACGTGACTTGTCGTAACCAAGTCATAACGCTCCCTTCGCGCTCGGTAAAACACTTATTGGCCAATGAGAGGGCTTGCTCAAGTACGAAAGGCTTGTCAACAGCCGTGTCGCGTAGCTGTTTCCCAGATGTCGCCTCAGTTCTTCGAAGGTGATTGTCAAAGAAACCCTTGACGGCGACTATACCCGGGCACTCCGGGGTGGAACCTTTGGAACTATGGAACAGTTCTTAGTGGTACACGCCCGCTAATATTGTTGAATGGCTTCCGATGAGGACAAAATGCCAATGAGTGACTTGGCCCTACGGACAAACATCCCCAGCATACCATGGGTAAGCAGTAATAATACTTTAGTATCCAAGTCTACTGCACTACATCTACTTGCCTAAAGTCGTAATATCCTAGCTGGTTCCGACTACGCACACAAAACTCGCATTGCTCGGTATAGTACCATGCGGCATTGGAAGTTGCTGCTGGACGCTAGATGACGACAAACAACGGACGAAAAATATCTATCCACCTGCTGGAGCGTCGTGTTCACCGTGGTCTTCCTACTCTCGCAGAAACTCAGCACTCTGTCAAGCTGGTACTTCTTGTCGTGTTCATTATATGGAAGACTTAAGACTTCGCAGTTCGATTCATTGGTGCATGTGCATGAGCTCCAGGTACTAACTCGGATTGACGGATCGAATATTGGGCAAAAATCGCTCGCTCGGATCCTTCAATCAAGAACTTGGTCTGAGTGGTGTAGAAGTACGACACATCTAGTAGCATAGTTCGAGTAACTCAACTCATGCTACCAAATGTGTCATACTTCTGGCTACGGTTCAGGATGGTAATAAATCTCGGAGTCCCGCACAAGAAAACGTGACAGGGGCGCCACGTGACATCCCATTACATACTGTACCTATGTTCGCTGGTACCTGTATCTTGGCATCTTCCCCCAACTTCTCTTTGATACACCGTTTCTTGAATGCTAAGGATGGACCGTGCGTGATTAGTTCGTTATTGGTAAATAATTCTGGCCAGGGTTCATTGCCATCGACGATTCCACTCACAACCTCAAACGAGTTTCGGACTATCATTTAGTGTTGTTAGTGCACCTGCGCACATTAACGATTCAAGTCTTCCAACTATGTATCCGACCGAACCAATGCGGTGATACTCGGCGAAAATCCCATCGTCCATCACGATGGGGCTCACTACAACCACTACTTTATCACGTCAGGTCCCGTAGTGCCTCGTGTTACTTAACGCTACCGTCGCCGCCGAGCGATGGAATACTATTAGACCTTGCGGAATCAAAATGCCGCGGTGCAATGTAGCTTCCAAAGTCACCTCGTGCACGGATGTGTAGGTGCTTCCTTCCGAGATCCGTGTATACTACTCAAAAGCGTTTTTCAACACTAGTTTGGTCGGTAGCGCCTCGGCGATGTATGACCGCACATGCATCATGGACGCGAAGAAAATGGCTCGGTACATACGTACGTCGCAGTGTCCACGGCTTCCGCTCGTTCATTCGGAGGGTTCCTTCGACTGGCTTTCCGCGGAGGATAAGAAGGCACTTGGCAACACTATGCAACAAATGTGTACGGAAACGCACAGTCATGGACGACGACGATGTACCGACGGCGGCAGCGCTATGTCCGGTTGTTAGGATGCACGCTCAAGCTTATGTAAACATCAAACGTCGGTGAAACGAATCGGGGTGGCAAGTGCAATAAAGCAATTTCTCAGCAGCCAAGGACTGCCTGCTGCCCTTCAAGTTTGTAATTATTCTTTCTCAAAGATAAAATACATATACATGCGGTTTCCTCGGGTTCCTGTTCGAAGGATATCTCAGTTAGAAAATTCTGGCCAGCAGGGAGATCGACTTCCTCACGGTGGTCTCGTTCTCTCCTTCAGCGGCGGTAGTTAGAGCAACCGTTCGGGGCGAAGTCCATGTTCAAAACGTTTCGCAGGTCGACCTCCCGATGTCTTTACCCGTGCTTACCGGGTGGGCTGATTTTTGCTAGCGTTGCTTCCTGCTGCTATTCTGGGTAGATGTCTCCTTGCTTGGAGACGCTGGGAAGCCTATACGGACGGACGTTGCCACGGTCGGTGACTCCCTGTTGCCTTGGCTTTCGGAAAGAACTCTGGGACGCCGAGCTCCGTCCTCCCATCTTGGTTTTGCGGTATGCATTGTCCCTTGGGCGATAGAAGCGCGCAGTAGGCATTGCCTAGGCCGTAAACACTGCAGACGGTGCGGTGCCTATAGGAATGTGGCACGGAGAGCAGGGAACAGTGACCATTGGGACCGTTCCTTGTTATCCCAGATTGTCGTCCAAGCAAGTGAGTGAACGAACAGATTTTTGCCGTCCGTCAAGCACTGATTCGCGTTTCCAACGGCTATCCAATCGTTATACATCCATACAACGTGCATGCCCAAATTCGAGCGAACGCTTGGGGGGCCCAAAATATTCCATCCCTAGCTTTGTTCCTATACTGGTCCAGCCATTCGGCATCACGGCGAGTCCCTAGTATCGTTACCACTACTCCATAAACTTATCTGATGGCTGATGATCGACATCGTGACAAACCCGGCTGCAGGGTCCTGCGAATCTTCTATCAGAACACGCCTGACGAACCAAGTTTAAGCTCTTAATACATGGTCGTCCGGGTACCTCGAGTCTGCCGACAATCCCGTGAACCCGCGGAGGAGAGTACCATGCGCTCACCTATCGATAGCTGGGTATAAGGTTTTTGGACGCCCATTGGACACCGTTTTTAGTGTCTTTGTACGTTCCGGGTATACGCGCGCGTGTTTAATTGACAAAACGTGCTATGTGAGCAGCATTAAATGGTGTAGCTCCTGCCGCCGCCACTCATCTGTGAATGCAGCTAGGGGGGGAATCTTTCACATTGTCATTTTGGAAACAGTTGAGATGTCCGAAGAGCTGATCGGTGTTGGGGCGTAACTCTTGGTCCGTTTTGCCTGTAATTATTCCTATTTAAATAAATTCGACGTTCACATCTCGCCTCACCTTGGGTACAGTGCTTTAGAGTTTGATGCCAGAAGGCACCGGGCAGGTTGTCTGAACATGTACCGCGGGATTTGGGAAAAGGGGAAGAATTAGCTACGGCCAAGTGTCCTGACAACGAGGACGGAACGCACACCAGCGTGCTTGCCGCAGTCTCTAATCTGCAACCGTTCCATCACGCGCGTAGAGCATTCCAATGTGGTCACTTTGCTGGTTTGACCTTGTAATACCACCCCTCCGCCCACATCCGCCTTTCTGAATCTCGGATCCCCCTCGGGTAAGTCACACCAAAATTAATAGTTTAGAAGTGTAAAGCCCCGTGCCCACACCACTAGCCATCAAATGAGATAACAGATTTTTCTGCTTTAGAACACGAGAAAACAATATGCAGGTGTATAATGGGTCGAAGCACCAGTAATTACTTACGGTGCGCAACAAACTTCTCCACGGCAGCGGCCTTTACTCCATTTTTTTTACGTAGGTGTCATGATGAGACCACGGCGAATGCTGGTAACGTTTTACTCGCTTGGTTAGAAGTGTACTTACGCCTGCGTCCTACCGCGTTCTTCGCCTCGCTTCGTTGCCACAGATTATCTATCGTCCATTCATCGATTCCGCCTGATGGTTCCTCGTCCAAGCCCCACAAACGGCAACGACCTGGTCGAGGTGCATGCTATTTTATGCCAGTTTACAACCGGCAGTTACGAATTGCTGTCAGTGAGTGAGGTACCCGGAACTTTGGGCTTATCAAGCTGTCCTTTCGCGCATCCACTAGTCAACTATCGCTTGTCGGCTGCGTAGGGACATATGTGAGATCTGTCAGCACGTTCGCTCGTTCGTTCTTCTCCTCGGAGAACAAGGATCCACAACGAGATCTGCTTGGACCATGAGAGCTTTTGGAACTCCTAGATCCGTCTGGTCCCTGGTGGGGATCTTAAAGACGTGTGTGGCTGTTTGGTGGCGGATTTGAGATGAGCCTGGTGTGTGGAGCACCTGTGAATTGAAACTGATTTCAGTCATGTCATTCGTTCTTTGGCATATGCCTGAGCCCCATACCCAGCCTCACGGGTACTGCCTACCCACTTAGCGCAGTACGTTATGGTCAGCGTTCCTTGAACTGAGAGCAGGTGGTCTGCGGCGGAGTGATCCTTTCCGATGCATTGGCAAGCATACCCTTTGGGTGACAAAGCTGCGCAGTAGAAGAATATAGATTGTCAGAGAAGCGTGTCGGATCCAGCACGCCGAAGATAGAGATTGCTAAGCCAGTACTTGTGACCTGAGGGTGCAGAGTAGTGAGGTGGGATTGCTGACATGAGCTACGATGGCGATGGACGCGTATATCGAAATGGTAGAGCAAAAGGTAGTGGCGCCCCGAAAATAATCCGGGATCAAACCAAGTGGCGCATCGGACCTAGACCAGCTCCGACCCCAAGTAATACGTTTCGAAAATGGTGGTGTATGGGAGCCTCTGGGCCAAATGTATGATTCAGCCGTGTCATCAGTGTCTGGGCACTTGGAGAAATGCCGAGGAAATAATGGGGATAAGTACACAGGAGCAAAAAATAATCCAAGAGCTACACGCGGCGGCGACTTGATAAATAATGGAACGTGCTGCCTGGATGAGCCCAGAAATATATTCGTTTGCGTGAGTGCCCAAAAGGTCGAGGGGAGAATGAAGATAACCGAGCAAGGGCCAGTTAGGCGTGTGGGGCTAGAAGAAAGTGGCCGGTGACAATGATTGACTGAGTTGAAAGTTAGTGGACGCGTGTTGACTGGATGATCGGCGTGAGGCAGCCAGCGTACAACAGTAGTACTTTTGGTGTGCTTGCATTGGCATGGCTAGTGCCGCAGTCCCGCCGCCACACGGAGATGAAAATAGAAACCGATAACGGAGAGGGGGCGGGACCTGGCACGCGAGGCTTACAGCAGGTGCGCCCAGATGTTGTGGGTGCACGTTTGGACTGCCATTTCGTGAAGGGGTGTGATTGAAGTTAGGTCTTACACCATGGTGACCCTGCCTGTGCTGGGCGTCAACAGGCTTGCGTCCCACGACGATGTGTTCTGTTCGTCTTGAGAGCCCCGAGTATGTACTAGTGATAGGTGTGGTTGATGGCAGTGATGGGTGGTGGGTTGACGAGATGTTGAGATGGTGATGGGCCAGCCCGCGTGATCCCAGTACGTCATTGGTAATCCAGTATGGGTGGGATTGATGGCGTGATGGACAAGGCACGGAGGAATGCTTAAGTCCACGGACATAGTGAGTGTATTCCGTCACCGCGGTGTCATACTAACTATAGGCGACCCCCCCCCTTCTCCCCATGGTCCCCTCTGATTGTCAGAAAGTCGATCCCTTCGACGGTTCCCTTACTCGTCAGCGTCGTCTCCTTAAATCTCGCTACCCAGTAAGTGCTTCCTTGTCTCGCCCGTCCGCCCTTTTCTTCCCTCATGGCGACGAGTCTCCCAGACGGCATCCTTGCCATCCTCGCTGCTGCACTTGTGAGTCTTCGTTCAACTCTCCCCCTCCCCCTCCCCCCTTGTTCTGACAGGTATCTCGCCAGGCATGCCATCTCATATTCAACCGCTATGAGCCCGTGGACCCTCTCTCACACTTGGCTCTCCTCGGCATGCCGCCGCTTGCCCTCTCGCCCCTTCTCCGTACTGCCTTCCCTTCTACCTTTCACACCATCCTCGTCGCATTCACCCTCTACTACTCGTTTCTCATCCTCTCTGTCGTCGCCTACCGTCTCTCCCCTCTCCATCCCCTCTCCGGATACCCTGGTCCCATTCCCTGTCGCATCTCCAAGTTCTGGATGGCCTGGATCTCCTCAGACGGAAAGCAACACGAATACTACACTAGGCTGCACCAAAAGTACGGGGATGTTGTCCGAATCGGTACATTCCACTCCTTCCTCCAGCTATCCCTTCTCACGCTCACGTATTTACCCCCTTCGTCGTTGCTAGGGCCAAATGAGTTGTCCATCCGAGATGTCGACGCAATCGATCCGTTGATGGGTGTCAATGGCCTTCCAAAAGGTCCACGTAAGTCTCTCTCCCCCAATTACCGCTCCACCATGCATCTCACTCCTCGGTCTAGACTGGGATGGTCGCATGGCAGAACAGACCTCTGTTAGAGCACTCATATCCATTAGAGACACGCACGAACACATGCGTCGTCGAAAACCCTGGAACAGGGCTTTCCGCGTCGCAACAATGAAGGGTTACGCAGAAATCCTCGCTAATCGAGTCCACGATTTCGTCTCGCAGCTAGAGAGACAGTCCGGTCCAGGACATATCAACCTCTCTGAGTGGATCAGTCGTTTTACGTGAGTCCCGTCCGAGCGCCCGTTTTCCTCGCCCTCTTCTCATCGCCATCCTTCTTTTCCTTTCTCGCTTTCCCACCACCATCATATTCCCCAATTCGGATCCTGCTGATATCTCGTAATCGTCTTGCCACGTGCGGTCTTTGCAGATTCGATTTCATGAGTGACATGGCGTGAGTTTTGCGGCAGGTTGTTCTAGTTGGCGAAGAAGGAATCTGAATATCGCTCTTTTTTTTTCTTCTTATTTCATGATCCCTCCGTCCTGTCCGCGTATCGTCTCTCCTCCTCCACCGCTGCTTCTTGCGCCAGGTTCGGAGGAGGCTCGGAAATGCTGCGGGACGGCGATAAGGACAACACCTGGCACCTCCTCGAAAGCGGATTACCGTATGTATACTTTTTTTTTACGTTGGCGATACGTTACGAATCATTCGCGAAAATACAGGCTTGCGCTCGTGCTCAGCCACGTACCTTGGTTGGGAAAATACTATGCATCCCTTCCTAGCATTGGAGAAGATCTCAAGAAATTCCGGTCGTATTGCCAGGCGCGCGCGCTCCGCCGTCACGCACAGGGATCACAAACCAAGGACTTGTTTCATTACCTGGTGGGTACCCACTCTACTTCCCCTCACTCCACCAGCTTCTTTTCATTGACACCGAGTATCTGTGCCGGGCTCATATCCCAATCTTCCCCTGTCAATCCATTTGTAGATTGATGAAGAAGGCATCGAACGTGATCCACCCACATTTGCCGAGGTAGCTTCCGACGGCGTGCTTGCCATTGTCGCGGGATCGGATACGACGGCGACCACCCTAAGCTGCTTGTTTCACTCGCTCATGGCGAACAGGACAGCGTACCGACGGTTACGGGACGAGGTGGACAGATTTTATCCTCCAGGGGAAGACGCCAGTGCGGCGACACACCATGGAAAGATGAAATATTTGACAGCTGTCATGTACGTTCTCACATTTTCCCTCCTTACCAGTACATCAATTGAGGGGGACGTAGAAACGAAGCACTTAGACTGTATCCGCCCGTACTCAGTGGGAGCCAGAGAGCAGTCCCAAAAGGGAATGGAGGGAAACAGGTTGGACCGTAGTATGCCGTGTATCCGTTCACTTGATTTGCTAGGGGCTCATTTCTCGTTACAGCTTCTTACCCGAGGGGACGAGTGCCTTTGTGCACTTCTATTCCATTCATCGCGATCCCCGGTACTTCTCCCCTTCCCCTGATGCGTTTTGGCCCGAGCGGTGGCTCTCCGAGGAGGACCGCCAAGCACTCGGATATTCCTACCCTAAATCATCCCCATCCTCTGACAAATCGACCAAAATACCCTCCTTCATTCACAACCCGAGCGCGTTCATCCCGTTCTCCTATGGTCCCATGAACTGCGTCGGCAAAAAGCTTGCACTTCAGGAGATACGGACGCTCGTGTGTTGTGTGATGCAGGGATTCGACTTCAGGTTTGCGGATGGCTATGATGTAACGAGGTGGGACAGGGAGTTGAATGATTTTTTCGTTTCCATGAGAGGAGAGCTGCCGGTGGTGATCACTCCGAGGGGGCAAGGAGATGGTGTCGGGTCGGGTGACAATGAAAAACGTGGATATGCGTTCCCCTCGGCTATAGGCGGAGCGATCGTTGAGAGGTAGGAGAACCGCGTAGCGTGGGTCAAAGTAATGTTTCATGATCGATCCGTCACCGGACTGTACGATGGAGATGCTTTGGACGACCGCCGACGACCTTTGAGACGAAACTAAACGTGATTTCATTTCATGGTAACACAATGTTCAAGGCATGGTTTTTGGAATGTTCGATCTAGCTATACACATACATATATCGTTTTCTTTTCCCTTGCTCATCTTATCCTTATGTAGCTGTGGTTGCTTTATTGATTTTTAAAAGGCATTCACGTGGATTGTGATCGTTTGTATAGTGACACTTGGCGCTCTGATCGCGGCGGTGAATATGAGCACTCGGCCTCTTTTTTCCCTACGCCACGGGGTGCAACGAAGCTTAGATTGGTTAACTGACAGAATTGATGCCTGTTATTTGAAACTTCGGTGACCGGCTCCCATATCACTGCGAGCTCCCCAGGTTACCGACAGGTATCCATGGGCGCCGCCGCATCAAGCATATTCATCATCCTCCCACACACATTCACTTGATGCCATACGACGACTGAGGTGGCGAACCTGTCTTACGTAAATTTCAAATGACCTTGGAACAAAGCACCGCCGGCATTGCAATGCCTTGTCAGCAAAATTAATACCGTAAATGGTATGTGCTAGTGCCGGAACCAATATACGAGGACAGTGGCCAACGCATTTGATCAAGTTCAGACAGTTGGATAGATGGTATTAATTGACTTACGAACACACACACAGCACCTAGGGCACTCCATACAGATGGCAACCCTTCTGCTTCTTGGAGTGCATTCTTCAATCTGATCGGTGCACACTGGATGGCACGTACAGATGTAACCGCGGAGTGAGTACTTTGCAAATAAAAGAAATACTTTGTTATGGGAGCCATCATGCTAGGAACTCGGGCGAAGAAACGAACCCACAAAGAAAGAAGAAAGAGAAGGGTGAAATTCACTGCATTCATGATTCATGTTTCGAGATGTAATCGGAGGGTAGTAGATATCTATCATTACTACGGCGACGAAGAGCGTGGAGGTGGTTGGTCACCGAGGGCCACCGTCTTCTGCGCGGAGTTCGGCCGCCGGAAATCGGACCGGTAGATCATTGGCAGTCAAGGGGATGTTTGTGAATATCTATTAGCGCTGCTACGAGAACCGGGGCGGACTGTTGGACTAATTGGCAGGGCGGTGGACTTTCTGCCGGGTTTATCCATCACTTTCGCCTGACCAACAGCATTTTCTGCGGACGGAACTCGATGGTGCTAAGCATTGGCAACTTCTTCCAGCCATTTGGCATAACCAGAATGGTCAACCGACCTACTGCTTGCCTGGGAAGAGGGTGTTTTCGCCCCGGTTTCGTGCGATGGTAACGGTAACGTACGACACTTGTCTTCGTCCGATCGAATCCGTGGCTGTCATTTCTTCGATCGAAGATGGCTCCGTGGGATCCGGAGAGAAGCCCAGATTATGAGATATTGATAGGTGGTTACTGTGAACGTTTATTGGTGATTGGACCTGTACTTACTTTGAAATGATTTCGAACAGGACAGAACCAGTACGGTGAGAGGTATCAGGAGACCCTCACTACGTTCAGGCACGAAGGTACGCGAAGGTCCTATTCAGGGGCTTGACGGATAAAGACAAGTCACTCCTAAACCCCAAATAAACACAATGAAGGGACAGACTAGGATAGTTCATTACCCCACTCGACATGTCCGTCATGATTAACACCGACTACCCTGGTCAATGACTGAATATATCTCGTTGAAGATGGGCGTAAAGTCACAGGAAACGCAGGGGTGCTTTTCGACTAGTTGCAATATGTGAGATCGGTTGTTCATCATACGGACCGGGCCGTCGGTATTCCTCGGCACTTATGACCCGTAAGGAAATTTAGAGAGCGACCGTCGGGTACCTTCATGAGTGACTTCCTTGGCCGTTACAGCGCTTGTGAGTCCCAACATGGAATGCACCGCCGGGCACGGATACAGACTATGATAAGACGAGGCATAAACTGGTCGAGGATAGCCTGAGATTTACAGCCGATGGCGTGGAGAAATGAAGTAGGAGAATGACAGCAATGCCTCGGAACCAGCTAATAGCCATGATGATGGGAGCGCACACAACAAACGGTATGCTTAGTTAGGCTTAATGATCACCCATACCATCAATAAGACTCACGGGTAGCTGTGATTATAATAAAGAGCATACGCCCGTTTTATCAGCTGCGTCTACATTTCGATTGTTCGGAGCCGCTCTACGATTGCACGATATGAGAAACAAGAGGGGAGGAACTCTTCTGTCTAATGCTAGAGCCCATATCGTGGGGGCCAGTTCGGGTATCACAATCAAGGCATCGAAGACAAGGTACTTCATCTAATGATTCGGTTGCCTACTGATGTACCGGTATGTGTGTTACTCTGTTTTTTTAAAAAAAAACTCTGATGGGTTTTCAGCTCCACTATTTTGCGAAAAAGACCCAAACCAAACATTGCAATCCGCTTCTACATTTTCCCCTGCCACGGCTTTATGGTGGGAACTTCGAACTTGCCGTGGAGCACAGGCACCGGACAATATAAAGCATGGTTCAACCTTACCTGTTTGGATAAGGCTAACCTGATTCATTCTGCTATTGGGTGGGTGAGTTCTGAGCGTCCTTGCCAAGTGGTACTAATACTTACATGCACTTCGCATATCAAGTATTAGATCGAGGATGTTTTGGGTCTCCGTATATATTCCTTGCCGTTATCATTGCCTCGTGTCCAAAGGAACGAAATCAAAGAGTCTTAGCTATCGCGCCCGACAGAGGCTGTACGTTTGCACATACCAAGCCGCCACAGAACTGAAACCAAAGTCCATGAATATTGAACTATCCTATCACCAGTGATGCTACTGGATGAGATTGTCTCCCAGCAACGGGCATCCAGTGAACTGCAGTGTCTTATCTTTCGGGGAGGGCAGGTAAAGCGATCGCACCGCGGTCATAATGTCTTCCTCATTGCATTTCCAGAAGTGCGTGCCTGTATATGTTATGAGTGCTTCTCGCAAGCGTTGCGGTGGCGTTGGCTGGCATTGCTATTTTGGACCGTGGACAAACCGTGGGAAGTACAAAACACGTTGCTTTTCTTATTATGACCGACCGCATCTTTCCCGGTCGACGCGTTCCGAGCGTCTTCCACCGGAGATGGCCCCCGCACCAAACAAACTGTCCGTAAGACCACTGGTGGTAGGGCACTCCGTAAACAGGTATGTCGGATTCATGCACCCGGTAGTCGCGTGGTCCGTGCGCTCACATTAATTGCCGCTAGTTATCGAAGGGACGCCTGAGCCGTCTTTCCATCACATCTTCTCCCAGTCGCAATAGAACATCGAGCATCTCATCGTCCATAACCAGTCCCGCAGGGTGATGGCCTGAATATCTTGACAAAGCTGGGTCCCCGATGTCCAGCACGTCTGCCCATATCATTCTCCAGACATGACAAAATGTCGAGTTGCTCATGGCTTGTGACTAAATGCCAAAGAGTAATACCAGGGAAATCTTGGCGATCCTTTCCTGTGCTTGGTTTCCATCGAGCACGTCCATTGCAGACCTGACATAGAAACCATTAGACCTGAGTATATTGACCGGGGTGCCTACCACAGCGGGGGTCCAGGCTGCGACTTTGACGCCTCGGAGGAGCGAGGTAAGGTTTATGACACGAGCTAACGGAATCGTCCCATTGTTATGATACCCATGTGTCTCTCCAGGACCCCAGTTTCCATATTGGTGAGATCATAGAAATCATCAACGAGACAGATACGTGTTGGTGGGCTGGTCGCGACCAATTTGGAAAGGAGGGGAGCTTCCCCCCGTGCATGTGAAGAAGATCTTTGATGACGATGAGTAAGACCCTCAGGCCTTCCCAGACACACTCAAGCAGGGTACATCGGGGTGCCGGCCCAATTCGAAGATTTACACATCCTGCATCGTTCGTTGCACAAGTACTTATCTTCTGTTCCGTCTTACACACATGTTCCACCTCCTAGTCCTCCACCACCACCACCACCACCCTAGCCATATGGCCTACCCCCGTGATTCGTTGTGTCATTGTTGGCTACTTGGACCACCAGACCTCCCTTATCAATATCAATCACTGGTCTCAAACGACTTTCATGAAACCCTTCTGCCGTGCTAGACGTGGACTCTCGTGGAATCCGTCGGCCGGAACAACTTGATATATTGTATTTTGTAGCGGTACTGATCACATTCATATTGCGGAGCCCTGGTATTACATAGCTATGGTCAGTTTTCGAGGGGATGTGATGTGATGCTGACATGGACTGCCCAACTACAGCCGACTTCCTGCAACTCCACGCTAAGTACACTGCATGTGTGTAGCCTCTCACAGGTGTCCTCCGTCGACTTCTCTACTGCGGTCATGATGCGGGGAAGTTATCATGGTCCAAACCTGGGGCTATCTGTGCATGGTACGTGAAAATCCGCTGCACCTGCACACGACCGTACTAATGCGATAGCGAGGGTGATATGATGTGACAGATGGCACTTACTTTCCCGTTGGACCCAACCAGCACTTGTTGGGTGGCTCGTGGCATCATATCTTGGATGATGTCAGAGGGTTATCGCGAACCATCGTCTTATCTATTCATGCTCGATGGATACCTATATAGTCTCGCACGATGATCCGAGAGGTGCTGATACTAATCCCGAGGTGGTAGGAGGAGCCTGTTTCGCGACTATGATGATGTCAGCAAGCGACACTGCACACGTTCACCGAGAGAAATGAATTCGAGGTGATGAAGGGGATCATGCACATGATCAATCTTCGTCGGAACTAGTAGCGCGCGACGTTTTATTTCGACCCTGCGAAAGGAATAGATTTTTTCTCTATGGGATTGCATTGGCACGGTAAGCAGCTGGACACATACTGATCAAAGACGTCTGGATGTTTTCTGCCGTGCAGCCGTGACAATCCATTATTTTTTTATCTAATCCGAACTCTATCAGCTGCTTGAATAGGCAGATAGTTTTCCCACTTCGTGGGTAATGACAAGCAATCACATGAGTTCAAATTCGACTTCTTTTCTCCCTCTCCGAGGCAGTTGTCACTGCTGTCATCCTCGCATGGTCGCGCTTCCTTGAACGCTCTTCCAATAAGCTTTTTTGTGCTACCGAAATCTGCACACGGCTCACTGCTTCTTTTCTTCGGCTCCGCGTTCATTGCGGGTTTGTCTCCTGGTCTCTGCGGCGGACGTCAATGATCTTGTCGGACCGGTGCTATATAGAATACCCCTGGAATCCGGGGCGTATAGTCTTCGAAGTGGGAGAACATTTAAGACCCGGCGTTGGACGGGAAGGCGCGGGTCATCGTCGACGACTTGTTGCCCCTCAGATTTCAAATCAACACGGGTCGTCCGTGGCGACATGTCTTGATATGTAGCAAAAGAGCTTCGAGGGTGTCAAACCCAGCGGACCTTGCGTCGATTGACTGAAGGTGGGGATACAAAGGTCACCAGCCCCGGCCAACCGAGTCAGCTGGTACACTTCCACCTGCAGTGGAATCAACGTTGGCTTATTTGTATATACTCTAAGTGTCGCTTTTCACCCTAATAATGCAATATACCGTGCGGCGAGCACACGGCTGGCTGACAGTACGAATTGGGTTACATATAAAAAGACTCTAGATGCATGTTACAGGTGAAGAAGTAATGTCGCAGATTGCCTGGCGGAAGAAAAGGCACGTAGATCCTTGGTAAATCAGAGACTTGGACAATGCCGTCACTCCGGTGGAACTCTTTCCGCAGGGTTACTCTAGGTATGACTGAAATTTTGACGAAATCAGTGAGTCTCATGCAGAGGACGGTGGCGGATAATATGGCGTTCCGACGTATCATTAACATACTAGTTGTTGCTAGGTAGTTGTTTTTGTCACGCATTTCCTCAGTGAATACGAAAGAAACTGCATGCATGACGCTCTTTCATACCGATTGGCATCAGTTGAAGCTTACATCACTAACTTGGACTTCGGGCCTTCAGGCGCAAATAAGATCATAGGATGTCGTTCGTCTGTGCTCGGGAGGAAATGGAGGTTCCACCACGCACTCCCGGCCTGTTTGGAATGGGGGGCCCGTTGAATGGACAGTCCTTGGGATCAGGTCGATTCGGTGTAGGGTGGTACAAGTGCAGTACAAACTTTCACGTCATCACCTGACAGTATCAGTAGTGCTGTTGGCAGAAGTTGACAGAACATTATGAGAGGTACTCACGGTGCCTGTTTTTATCTACCTTGCGAAGGAGCATGGTCTTTCTTAAGAAATAAGAATGCACGCACTAGACGAACGATAGGGTGCAATAGTTTAACTTGAACAGTGAACATAGAGCATACGTCCTCATGACGCCAGACTCTTCGATTTCCGGTTATTATACCAAACAATGATGAATGCACGTATGTGGCTCGCGCAACCTGCGCAGCATGTAGTCATACTTCCTTTGCATCGGTATAGCACGGTTTTATTTTAGTAGCTAAAACCAGAAATGTCAGGACAGTTGGTGTTCGGACCAACTTTGCCTCCGTCCGTGGCAAGACCTGACCAATCCCATGGCCCTTTAGAAACAGATATCAGAATAAAACCTGGTTCCTGATGATACGTGCAGCTCACCAATGCAGGAGTCGACGCCACAATTGACCGCGACCATGTAAGCGCTGCTGGTCGTAGAGATGTTGTTCAAACCTGAGAAGGTGACGTTCTGTGCAACAGTTTGTAAGTCGTACAGAAGATTCGGTCATGAACTCGGCTTTACTGAAATGTCGACTCCGTTTCCAGGCGTTCCTAGAGCAGCAGGGTAGCTCTGTGGGGAGTGTGAAGATCGTACATCGGTGACGACCAGTTACTTTACCTGCGTAATCAACACACCAAAGTCGGTACAGCCACTAGCACTGTTGTGCTACAAGAAGGTCAGCAAAACATCACATCAGCTTGGCTAGCCACCACACCGTGTAAACAACGTTAGAGACGCGGCTACCCTGAGTAGTTTGAGATGTTTTAATGCGCAACGCCTGCTCGCTTTGTAGAACATAATGAGTCGGTTCGTCTGAACTCGAGAGCAGAAAAGACACATACCTGTCAACCAACGTATTGTTCGAGATAACTATGTTTTCTATTACTGTGTCATATATAGACGAGGTCTGTGGACAATTCGTAATGCGCCAATTCCAGTAAGAATAGAACCTACGAGAGATATTCCATGGCCACTCTCGCAATAGTTGTTGTGTACTGTGATGTTCGTTCCCCAACTGATGGCAATACAATCATCCTGTACGAATAAGCGATAATTATTTCTAGGACATGGTAAAATGTATTACCTGATTGATAACGACGCTGACGATGGCGAGTTAATCGAGTTGCTTAAATGTAAACCACGCGCGGGGAATTACCAATTTTGAATTGTTATACCGTCTCCGCCAACGTCAAAACCGTCGGTGTTGCGGCCTGGCGTGGTTTTCAGGAGCGTAGAAGAGTTTCAGATGCAGAACTTACCCGCAGCAACACCGCCACTTCTAGAGTTCGCGTAGTTACCTTCCCCTAGTCGAGATAATGACCAATTGACCTTTGAGAGATCAAAACTTGCTTACGGTTATCCACCGTAACGCCGTCAATGATTAACGGGCCATTCCAGATCTCAAATGCTATCATAGGTGAATTAAGAAGATATACTCCCTGTCAGTGAATATGCGCGTAAAAATGGGTACTTCAAAAATAAGCGGGATGGCGCACAGAGAAGGTCCCTGTAATGCCAACGCTGTTGCCTTTGTAAGTTAACTGAGGTAGATATTAGCACCGTGATCACCTCATCACTGGGTTAGGCTTGGTTAAACCGCCTGAACCTCCTTTGCCGTCCTAAATTTCAACTACAGGTTAGCGGTGATCGTCCGAATGCCCTACTATCGCCGACTTTACCCAGTAAGAAGGACCAGAACCATTCCATTTGTGGTCATTCCCATTGACTGGACAATGAATGAGTTTCCCTCCAGGAAAAAATGATGCTTTAGCTAACACGTGATATCGTTTCCCCTAAGGCAGCATTGTGAGCAAAAATCCACATGAAGCAAATGAGATCCTTTACGTTACTGTGAATAATGGACCTTTTGTGAAGCCATCGCTGAATTCGATATCCCCATCTGAGCCGCTGGTGTCAATACAACTGCAAGACCCAAATGATGTCGGTCACTCACAAACATTTACTGTCGTTCCATCTAAAAGATTGAGCACGAAGCCCTGGTTAGCAGGAACAGTGAATCCGTATATATTAACAGTTTTGCACTGAACGGCCGATGCGACATCATTCAAGGATTGGATAACTCCTGTACAGTTGCTGCCAGCCGAAGTTGCGCTCGCGAGAGTCAGGATAGACAAGAGAGTCAAACTGGCGTGCATGATGATCGGCTTCAGGAAATCATCCTCAGCAGACATCATGTGGCTTTATAGTGAACCGTAACGCTCCGTCGTGGGTATGTGTGGTTTCCTTCGCAACGAACCTAACACGCGGAGGCATAAGTGAGAAGTCGACCGTATCCGCTCAACCAAGCGCAGCACGGTGCCTGCCATGTCATATCAGAAAATTGCCACATCCCGGCCGGACTTGTCGCACTAAGTGATGTAAAGCGAATTCTTTGGAGTCTTGGCAGTTGACTTGGTTTGATTTCGAATGGCGTTCGCGTCGTGGTGGCATTAAAATGCGAATTATTGCTCACCATGAATATTCGGAATGGTATTAAGGAGAAGATCTCGAGTGTACTTTAGACCCGTTTGCATGGAAGGATGGGTATTAGGTTTGCAACGCAAGACAACACCGTGTGCATATGTTGGGATATAGTTCGCCGGACATCGTAGCACCATAAAATCGGGTGCCCGTACCCGGTAGTGGGCTGAGGTGGTGCATTTTTCACTGGACGTATTCGCTAGGAAAGTGCTTGCCACCTATATCCGTTGATCTTCTTGGACTGCGCAACGTCACCGAATGATAAGAGCAGGACACGGAGGCCGGTTGACTATGGCGACCGGATGAAAGGGCATTCTTTGATACAGTAATAGTAGCTACTCAGTAATTAGAGATTGAGATTCCCACGAGGTACAATGACGCGTCCAGTCACCGCGTTTTACTAGTGTTACCCTCAAAATGTCCTCCACCGCAAGTACATCCAAGCCGACGGAGAACTCAAAGACATCCGAGAAACAAAAGACGGATGAGACCCAACATCTCGGCGTCTTGGAGGAAGACGACGAGTTTGAGGAGTTCCCGGCCGCAGGTGCGCCAACATGTCCACGAGCGTGTTCTGTAGCTGAGGGGAAGCTGCACACATCAGATTGGGACGACTCTGAGACTGACCTCGCGCACTTGGGTGGCACTGCTCCTGGCGTTGCCAAGTCAGGAGGCGACAAGTTATGGGAGGATAACTGGGACGATGACGATATCGAAGACGAGTTCAGTATACAGCTAAGGTGAGCTGGCTTAGTCCTTTTACGATGAAACCATGTCGGCTCAACAGACTATTAGGAATGAACTCACGAAGAAAGAAAGCAAGGGCGCGGAGGTCATGCAACACTAGTGACTAGTGATCTTTGAGGGCAACTGTATCACTGCACATGTCATCATATTCTGACGAGAGGCACTGACGGAGAAGTATCTGAGCACGGCTAAACGTGCAAAATATCTTCGCGAGTTTTATGCATTTCTGCCAAGTATTGTCCCCCAATACTCCTTTCTCTATTCTTTTTAAAAAAAATCGGGGAGACCGAGCTCATCATATCCTTTGGGAAGCCAACAACAGCATGAAATCTGATGAACCTATGGCCTTGGAAATTGAAGATCGAGCATCGTGCGGATCCTTCTGCCGTGCATCACAGGTCACCAACACGAAGTTGATGACCGATATTTTTGTAAGTTTATGACACCTTGCAGGTTCAAATCGGACGCATACCATCTGCACGCAAACAAAGTGGTAAAACGTGAGGTCCCGGATTTCCCAACCAGTAGCGTGGCGACAGCAAGTTTTGTTCTCCCCGAACTCCCCTGTTGACTTGGGAACGAATAATTCTTGGAACAGGTTACCGGCGGCAGAATACCATAGCTAGTCAGAGGCCGACCTACGTAACCTATTTTGCTAGGCAAGCGTGAAATGTTTGTGCCATGTTTCGATCATGCTTCCGATGTCGTTCGCAGCACAACCGTTGCTATTCAAGTACCCTCGCTGCATCAATTACTCTGGACAAATAATTAGGAACAGAATAATAAGCGGATGGTGGTGTTGCTCACATACTTAGATACACCTTAGATATGCCCATACCCATCAGACCCATGAGTAGGGCTGCCTTGCTTAGTGCAATCTAACAGCGATCCCGCAGCGAAGTCGTGAGTATCTCAGCTGCAAATTCAAGTCATTCTCATGGTGCTGGAGATCAGTGGAACGGAACGAATATCAACTCGTATCTCCTTCAGAAGTTACTCATATGGTTGTGGTTTTGGACCAGGAATTCGCTGAACAGGCACGCAGTATGTGTCTGACTACCGGTCTCAAAAACAGGTATTGCAATGTGCATCGCTGCCGCTATGCGCTGATTCATTGGTCCACTGAACTTAACAACCAGGATCATGACCCACAATCGAACCTGTAGTTCTTTAATCGGGGGCGCACTGCTGCCCGATCGTAATCCAGAATACCCTTTTATGAACGACTCATGGCATCAACCTTCGGGCCACTATCACAAGGTACGTGGGGGTGAAGCTTCTATACATCATCTAGTCTAAGAGCCTTGAAGGATCCTCGCTCTGGTGCTACATATGTGATAACATGCATGGGAGAAATCATTGTAAGTATCCTCGGGGTGATCGTGGTCAAGTAACTGCTTTTTTTACGGCTCGTCTTTCTTTAACTCCGGAAGGCACCTCGACAAGAAGACTAACAGACATAAAACAATCAGGAGCACAATGTATACCAGATTTCCTCCAAGTAAGTTGTATTCTTTTGAGAACGCGAACAACGAAGTGAATGCTGCTGGCCCCACTGCCCTTGCAAACGACGTCGTAGTTTGGCTGAGACCATTCATTGTACCAAGCGAGTACTTATTTGGCGAAGCCCTCGTGATAAACACGAAGATAACACCTGTGATTTATCAATTGAACGGGGAATCTGCTCGCTATATCGAGTAATGGGTCACATACCATAGGACATATTAACCACTGACCACAAGAGTAGCTGAGTAACGATGAGTGTCCAGATGGCTGGACCAACTTCCTTTTGAATTTGGATAACCCAATTCATAGCCGGGAACGTAGCAATGATAGGGAAGAATGCAAGTATGGTCGAACAAAACACCCTCCTTGGCCCAAAACGATCTACTGCCCGAGCCGTGACCAGCATTTGAAACAAGCCGTTGCCAATGCCAAATGCCATCATGCACATGCCAATGGCGAATGGTGACAGTCCCAATCCCCCAATTTCGATGGGGCTTGAGTAAAACAAGGGCACAAGAGCGAAAAAGCCAATGTCGACGAGAGCCAGTATACCATAATTTGCGATGGGTATCATCACCGAATAGGTTTTGAGTAGGGTACCGATCGGTACAGGAGAACTACCTGGGTCAATCTGAGCATCTATTGAGGGTATCTCTGGATGTGGGACTTTCCCGTGTCGTTTCGAGGGTAGTGACTATATTCTACGGTGGTTAGCCATTCAACAAAGGTATGCGTCACTGGCTCACCTCCCCCAAGAACAGCGCAGTTATGAAGAATGAGAATGCAGCGTACGAAGCGGATACAAGACAAGGAAGGAAGTACGGGTATTGCACCCAGAACGACCCTGAGAAGAGTTCGGGCCAATGGTCATGCGGCTTCGCCAACCCGCCCCCAAAAAGAGGACTGTCAAGTGCCTGATATTCAGCACCTGGCGGGCACAGGAACACATTTACGTACGCAATTGAAGCACCAACAGAGAAAACGATAGGGAGAAGTGCAAATGCCTGGGCCATGTTGGTGTTGTCTGTTATTTCCCCTATGATGCTTTTCATCACGCCAGCGTTGCCATTCAAGGCTCCAGCAATGCATCGACTATGGTCAGAATCTAGGTTACACCTCAAACTGAGTGTGCTACGAGAGTTCTTACCTTGCGACGAGTGCCCAGAATGTTCTGGATAGTCCAAAACATAGATTGGACATGCTCAGACCCATGAGACCGATAAGTAATACGGGTTTCCGGCCGACATGATCGGATAAGCGACTCCAGCTCAAGACCGTCAGTGCTTGGGTAACAAAAAACAGAGATTCCTATAGGCCGTGTGAGAATAGAATGCGTACATATATATCATGAAAATGAACTCCAAGGGCCTGGACGCAGGCGAACGCTAACACGAAAAGGGAAGAAAGTTGCTAGATGACTACTCACAATAATGCCAGCATAATATCCTATCTTGCGATCGTCTCCACCGGTAACGCCTAGCTCCCTTATTAGCTACAGATGCCATCCAGTTTTGTGTCGCCCAAATCAGCCCCCACGATGCCCTACAGCGATCATATCCACGTTTTACTCACCTGATTTATGAATGGGAAGATGTATTGCGCTGACATGGGCTCGGTGAAAAGGACGAACAAGACAAGTCCCAGCTGTGTTTTAGGCAGAGGTGTCTTTGCCTTCGCTTGCGTGTTTTCTAGTAGGGGGGTACTTTCATCGGTGGTCATTTTCTCAACAATCACCAAGCAGGATACAGTAAACGGGGCTGTCAAGAAAGGAAGAGAAGTCAGCCGGCGACTCAAGGAGCGCCATTCCGGCCCTCCAAGCGACTGAATCAGTTATCGATTGACAGTTGCTATTAGTAACAGCCAGTACGTACATGATCGCGGTTGTTATAAGCAGCTTGTGGAATTCCCCACCAATCCAGTGAAAATGTGGCAACACATATATGTGGAGGGAAGCTCTCTTTACTAGGCAGTGTAACAGAACTGCAATTACTGTAAGTAATGCATGTTCGATTTGGCAAGTCGTGCGTAGTCCGTTTCCGTCCCGACACGTCCACTCGAGCTGTGAGAACAACCTTTCATTCCCATTTTCACATCTTATCTTCGCGTCTTTGTTTCTATTTTGTTTCCTAATGTCTCATACTTATATGTGCTTGTTACTTACAAGGTTGTATCGTGTCTCACAACAAGAACACCCTTTTGTTATTGTTGGAACATAAAGTGCCACTGTTTGTTGGTACTCAGGTGCGATGCTAGTGTGCTTACATAAGCACAAAAAGCGCACATACTTGTAGTATTTTTCTACTAGTATTCCCTCAGTAGTTTGTTCACTACTGAGGGTAAGTCCATTCATATTACAAGTATTCTACTATACTGACATCCTGTAGTAGCCTACAGGTACAGTAATATGCTCAATAGTTTGTTTGCTACTTAGGTAGCCTACAGATATTTCTGCAGTTATGTACCAAGAGGTTCAACACCTGGTGTCTCAGATGTTGTTGCTGTCCACCCATGACTGAGGTGAACATGAATACTTCACATTACTCTTACAATATTGAAAGATGGGTACATCACAAATGGATCAGGTCATACATCTGTGGGTGTGGGGATTGTCATTGGACTGCAAATAACAATTGTCCATTGCTCCCAAATATAGGGTTCATCATGTTGAGTATGCATTCTGGAGTTATGGTAATGTCTTGGAATTTCACTCAGAGTGCTCAGAGTTTTTCTCCAACTTTCAGAATTAAATTCTGATGTCATTGTGCTTACTAATTATGGTACTATAAATTTTCTGCACTGTTCTTTTCCACCTTAGTGACTACTTTGTAAACTGAGGTGAGTATAGCTACATTTCCATTTGTTTACTTGGTACTGACATAGTGTAGAACTCATGCCTTCATTAGGTTATGAGCCCCACTCTTGCACTCTAATTCCAAAAGAGTTATTATGCAGCAACAATACCCATTATGGCAAAAGACAATCATTCCTTACAAGTTCCAACCCTAAATGCAGATGGAAGCAGCTGGCTATACACTACAAGGCTCAGGTTGAATGGGCTGATTGGACACCTTTGGACATTGCAATGGACTTGGCTTTCCTTTTTCTGCAACTGATGCTGGTGATGGCTGATGATGACAATGACCCAGCTGACACATGCAACAAAAAACTTGATGGTGCAGAAGGGGGGATGAAGTTTGGATCCACAGACTGTGTGTCCTTGTGACAGTGAGTGTTGAGAGCATGTGTCATGTTGAGGATAGAGAGGGAGGGAGGGGGGATAGGAATAGTTGAAGTGGTGGGGGGTGTGGTAGAGGCAGGAGTATTGAAGGCAGAGGTTGTGGTTGTAGAAGGCACAGTAGTGGTGTGTGGCTGGTAGATAAACCAACCTCAGCCATGTGAGGGGAGAAGGAGCTCTACACTGGTGAAGTGGGGGAACCTGGAATTGTGAAATGGCTTCATGTCTTTGTGCACCTGACTAGATGTTAGTGGATGATCTGACAAGAAAAAAACTACATTACCTTTACATACCGATCCCAAAGATTGGTGTTGTCCAGTGAGACCATCACACTGTGCTCATCATTGTAAGCAAAGCCAGAGGCCACTGATTTAAGATCAGTGACAGCATAGTAGGATTTTTTAAGCTGGATAATTGTTAGCAAGGCAAAAAAAAAGAATGATATGACAACTTACTGCCTTGAACTTCTGCTCACACAATTCAGCTGTCGTATTGCCATTATCTGGACCCAGTGGATAATTATGAGCCATGTGGGCTGCAGCAGCATTCCACATAGCCTTCTTCTTCTTAAAGTTCCCATCACCAGCCTGTGAAAGATGAGAGGCCAAGAAATCCAGTAATGTGCCTTCCTCCTCTGTTGTCCATACTGCAGCTTTCTTGCAAGTCCTGGGGGGAGGCAGGGGGTTCCATGGGTCTAGAGGATTGATTGTAAGGCCATGTGAGCACAACAAGTGGGTTGATCCCACAGATGAGCCAGACATTCAATGATCACAGTAACTGGGTGACAATGGTTGTGTACCTCAGGTGGATGCACATGATAGTTCACATCATGTGAACCTCTTAACTGAAGCTGAAGTCGAAAACTTGGACTTTGCATTCACAGGTTGAATGGTGCCTTATCTTTAGCTGAATTTCATGACTCAGTACCTGGTCCTAAACCTGTAAAACTTCTTTGCTTTTCTTTCTTCCATGGTCATCCTGATGTAAACTATGATCCTAATGACTCTGCCACAGGATACTTTCCTGGTGAGTTTGACAGAAATGCCTATGATGCTTGTGACTCTTACCCTTTGGGTGTAAACAAGTCATTTAAGAACCTACCAAAGGGTGAGTCAATTTGGATGTTGGATTCTGGAGCATCACATCATGTGACTCCATTTAAAACTGATTACCTTACTTTCTGAGAATTTAAATCTCCAACTCAAGCATCTACTGCTGGATTGTTGAGAGTGCAAATTCTTGGAGAAGGAGCAGTAGTAGTGCACCTTGAATCAGGCCACAATCTTACTCTCCATAGTGTTGCTTATAGTCCCTTCTTTTCAAAGAGACTTTGTTCTAGAAATGCACACCCTAAAAACAGGTATAGGAGCACAGTGACTTTGACACATGGAGTGATCTGAGCACCAGATGGTCAGATTGTCCTTGAGGCAAAATTAGCCTCACCAACTTCACTGCTACACTGGTTTGTGGGCATACTGCTTCCACCTACCAATGCCTTTGCAGTCCTTTGCCCTCTGGTAGAGTTGTTATTGCCAGAGTCTCTTTGGCATAACTGACTAGGACACCCAGCAGATAGTATCCTTTGTCATCTTTGCCAGTTGGGTATTCCTGAAATTACTATACAGGGGGAGACTTCTTCCTGTAAAGGGTGCACTCAAGGGAAAATGTCTTCTGAGGCATTTAAACCTTCTTGAATTACCAGTGGAATCTTATTTCCACTCCAAATACATCCTTGCCCTTTTGGGTGGTTATTCTTCTTTCAGCTTTTGCCTCTACCTTCACAGTAAATCCAACACCTGCACTGCTTTTGCCAGTTGGATGGTTTCTGCCCAGAATACTATGGGCTACCATCTTCTTGCACTCCATTCAGATTGAGGGGGAGAATTTATGGGTCATACATTTAAAACACTCCTCACTACTCAAGGAATAACCCATCAATTGTCAATTGCCAATCAACCACAACAAAATGGTCATGCTGAGCAATTTAATTGCATTATTCTTGAGAAGTCTGGTGCTCTTCACCATCATGCTTGCATTCCAAAATGCTACTGGAACTTTGCTTTTGATTGTGCACTACATGTATATAATTGAACTCCTCTCAAGTGGATTCTTTTCAAGACTCCTGCTGGACTGTTCTTAGGAGAAGTTCCTGACATTTCATATTTCTGCACCTTTGGCTGTAAAGCCTATGTATGGGTTCCCAAAGAACAATGAAAAGACAAATTGGAACCTCATGTGATAGAAATGGTTTTTCTTGGTTATGAACCAAATACTAAAGGATATTGGTTCTTACATGGTCAAAAAATCATTCTCTCTCATACTGCAAAATTTGTAGAAGACTCATTTCCTTTTTGCTCAGGTTTAGCTCATGTGCTACCCTCTTGCATGATCCCAACCCTCATATTTCAGAAGAGACCAGATGGAAGATCAGAGATAACTCCAACAGACAGAAGACAGAGAGATATGGAGTAGGAACTTTGGTGATATTCATACTGAAGAAGAGTGGAGTACTGTACATGCTTTTATACTACTATGGAGGTACAGTAACTAGAATCAGAACTGACATACAGAGACTTGTGAATTTTCAAGTAAAAACTTCCTGGATGATGAATGAAGGGAAGCCAGAGAACATGTGACAGGTAACATTGAACAAACCAAAAAGGAAACAGTCCAGGCACTGAACCACATGGTGCACATGCTGTCAAGGAGAAGTCCAAAAGATGGTCACATGATCTCTTGGAAGATGGTCCATGTGGTCTGATGGTATACTGGTACAAGTCCAACAGAAGGCAGAGTGGAGGAGACTTGTAAACAGTAGAGTGTGGGTGGAGTTGGTGTGGAGTGAGTGAATGATCAGTGAAGTAGGGTGTGGAGCAAGTAGGGACTTAGGATAAATGCATGGTCATGACAACATGTCTCATATATGAGCAGGGCATGTGATACTAGGTATCACATGCCAGTAATAACAGATCACTGCAAGCATTTCACAATTTTTTGTGAGCAAACATGTTGAAAAAAAAATGAAGGAAGAGATACCATGTTATAATGGATGTTTCCACAGACAAAATCCAAAAATAATACTTCATTTTCTTTGCCTTCTCCACCAGCAAACATGAATTGTCAGTAATTGTCATTAGACTAGAAGCTAATAGTCATTACCATCGATTAATGTTTATAGGTCAGACACACAAAGAAAATAAAATATTACTTTTGGATTTTTTTGTTTGAGAATATCCAAAATAACATTGTACCTTTTCTTTCAATTTTTTCAACATGTTTGGTCATGAAAAATTGTGCAATGCTGCAGTGAGATACTATATTAGGGTAGACCCCTAACAAGACAGAAGAGAGCATAATATTGAGGGCAGTTGCAAGGTAGTGAAAAACTAAAGATACAGAGTATCACACTTCTAGCTATATACCACCTGATGGAGGGTGCACAATAACTCTATATGTAGTAAGTTCACTGCAGAACAAACAATGAAATAGAAATGAGTCAGTATGACTCAGTAGCAAGGGAATGAGGCCCAAACCAGCTGCACTATCAGACATGTGCAGTGAGGGGGTGGAGTCATGATGAAACAAACAAATACATCCTACACTGGTAGAGTAAGAGATGGGACAGGGGAAACATACAAGTGAACAATCAGACCACAGTCAGGTGCAGTGTCAACAACAAGACAATAATGCCATAGGGACTGTTGGAGCCCACAAGGCTCTTCCAGAGATGAAATG